TTTGGAAGGTGGGCATTCTACCACTGACCCGGGACTGCAGAATTGTTATTAAACTAGCAATGGAATGTTTGGTTAAGAACGTAATATATATTGCAGTAAAAAATCACTTATTAAGTGCTGTGGAGTCCGTTCTAACTCATAGCAACCCTGTATAGGGTTTCCAAGGAGTATCTGGTAGATTTGAACCACTAATCTTGTCATTAGCAGCTCAGTGCTTATCCTGCAGTGCCACACCAAGACTCCTAAAAAATCATTTAGCCTTATTCAAATTGAAGAGCTTGGATGGAAATAAAATTTAATTGGAGGGGGGAGTGTTAATAATCAAAAACCTACCCCCCCAAAAAAAAAACTACCCATAAAAGATAAAAATTTATTCCCACAACTTTGTATCAGTTTAAAATAATCAGAAGCAACAGTTTTAAACATGTAATTTATTTGTATGTACTTTGTTTAAATCCATTGTTCAAAAATGTTCAAAAGGCACTTTAAAAAACGTATTTAAAAATACATTTTCTGACTTACGGTGATCACTTAAAATAAGCAAGTCACCAGACATATTTTAAACCCATTCATGACACAATTATATAATTTTAAATTCCAAAACACAAACATTCACTGTGTAATAGAACACACTGCTTAGCAGTAAGATTAGTTTCCCTCTAATAATATACTTCACATGGGTTATAAGTTTGCAGGGCCCTGAAAAGTTATTGAAAATTGACTAATATAAACTGAATACTAGTAAGGGAGTTGAAACAACATAATTCAATTCTAAGCAGGTTTCAGAGTTAGTTTCTCTAAAGAGAATTTGTATGTTTCTTATTCCAATCTGTGCTAAAATGTTTATTTCAACTCTGCTATATAAATGTAAGTAATTCTTTAATCAATAGAGGTTACTTTTGCCTAAAATAAACCACAGGTTGTCACTGCTGTCAGATCTATTATTAAAGAATCGAGAAATGAGGCCAAAAAAAAAATTTTTTTTTGACAAAGGAACATGGAGAAGGTATGACATAAATTTTTAATAGTTGTAGATCTGTAATCAACACTAATGTTTAATTAAAAAGCTGAAAATTATAGATTTTTAAGTTAGGCAAGTATTCTGAATTCTTAGACTTTTACTTTCAATCCATAGGGAAACCTAAAGTTAGAAGTTATAAAATTATCAGTAATATAAATTCTAATCACTAATAACAGCCAAATTAACCTTGTGAAGGCATTGATAACCAGAAGATGTACGTTAGTTATAAAAGAAAGGAAATAAACACAAAGAAACAGAAATTGTCAAAAATGGAATAAATAATATAATGAACTGAAAATTCAAATGAAGTATTAAAAGCTAGCTAAGAGAAAACCTAATCAATTGAGGGAATCTTTCAAGTACAACTGTGCCTCAATCTGGTATCAGTATATTTTGATAGGCTCAAGGAAGTGAAAAACAAATAATCAAGAAGCAATTATGAAAATACCCAGTCAGTAAATGTAATGCTCAAATCCAATGATCGTATTAGATTGATTACTGATATAGTTTTGAATCTTTCTGAACCTCCAGAAATGTAAGGTATTTGAACAGAAATAATTAACTCAGGGCAAAGACCTGTTTTTTATCTATTAACTTTACACTAGAAAACACAAGCATACTGTTACTAGGAACTGTAAGACAGCAGAAGCCTTGTCTTGAGACCACACTAAAAATCACTTGTCTAACTTTTAAATACCTTCATCTAAAAGATGATGAAAAATTGGATTTTCTGTGCTCTACCACAGAGTTGGAGAAGGTTTTGGTTTATTAGGTCACCCAGGACAATCAAGTGATTCTTGAAAGTGATTAAGTTCTCATTCATAGTATGAATTTAGCTGAAAAATATCCTGAATACTACAGAAAAGCATTTTGCTACTCCTAAATTTCTTACTGATGACTTTTTGGTGACACCCATTTATGTATGCTCTTAATTAACATGTATGTACTTAGTTTTTAAAGAACCTTGCTTGCCCCGATGTGAAATTAAACGTTATTACAGATCATACTGTTCTCCTGGAGAAGGGAAAGAACTGCCAAAACGAATGATTTACTGATTCTTTATCGAGGCCTTTTACATTTAATACGTTATCTTCAGCTATACTGGTTTAAAATATATTTAATCTTTGAAAAATACCTGATTTTTTGAGCAGCAATCTTGTGTTCCAAAGCCTATTTGCATCAGAATTCCCTAGGTTCTAGACAAGGGTTCTCACACTGTAGCATTAATAAACTCACTAGGAGGGATCAGTTAAACACCAATTTCTATGCTTCCTCAACCCTAAAGTTTCTGATTCAGTAGGTACAGGGTGAGACCTGAGAAGGTGCATTTCCAAAAAATTCCCAGATGATGCTGTTGATGCTTACTGGGACCACACTTTGAGAACCACTGTCCTAGAGTAAATGGTAAGAATGCAGAGTCCTGGGCCTCATGCTGGATTCAGAATTTTTAGAATTAGGGTTTTGAGATCTAAATTTTAACCAACTTCCAGGCAAAAGTATTGGGAACCACAATTTGAGAACTACTATGAAATTTGGCTGGTTAATATGACTGCTACTGACCAACAGGTTGGAAATAGTACTAAATGACTAACCTAAACCTGGCATGACGCAAATAACTCACCAAGCTATGCGTCATTTACTAGTTTTGTGACAATGGAAAAGTGACCTAAATTCTCTGAACCTCAGTCTCCTCACCTCTAACATGGGCATACTACTCAATTTATGAGGACTACTGCTAATGTAGACAGAGTAAGCACACTGCCTCACAAACAGTAGGCAATAAACACTAGCTTTCACATCTCATTTTAAGAATAATTCCCTTCAGTATTTTACCGAAGTAGACTTTTCATTCGTTTAAATGGAATACTTACACTCCAATGTAATAGAATTAAAAAACAAACAACTTTATTCCTTATTCTGGGCAGATGGCATTCAATTTAGTCATTTAACTCTCATAAAATTCCTGAGGTAGGTATTATTATTATCCTATATTTATAAGTGAGAAAATTAAGGTCCAAGGAGATTAAGGAAATTGTTCAAGGTTAGAAAGTGACAGAGCAGAAGTAAAACCCAGGCAGCAGTCTGACTCTTAATCAGGAATCATCACAATGTTAATTTAATTTTCTATGAGCAAATTTTAAGGTCTCTGGATGTTTGCCATAAACCATTTATAATTCTAGTTTGGAAAAATTGCATATGTGGACAGCAAATAACCTTGTGTACACAGTTGTTCAAAGAATGAAACGGAATCTCTTGATATTTTGCCAGATAATACCATTATGTAAAGAATAAACAAAAATTAAATAAGTAAGCATTGGTCAGTGTTTTCACTATGTGAAGAAAGTAATCATTTAGCTACTAAAATGAACATTCTCTCAAAAATACCACTGACAAAGGTCATGGCTTTGACAAGTTTTGGTTCAATAAATACAAATCATCCAACTAAGCCACAGAGTAAGTGAGGTGACAGACATGTGAAATCAGCATAATGGAACAGAAATCATTTCTAACACTAAAGATCATCTTACAGAAAGTAAAATATTCTGTTATGGTACGTACATATACTATTGCTAGTCAATGAAGATTACAAATTTTCTTTCCTTCTAGAAACTCCTAAAACCGAGATTACTGAAAATGGAGTGAAACATTTGTGAATGTGTTTTGAAGACAGTCTTGAATGTGTATTCTATTTTTTTTTATAATTATTTATCCCTTGGCAAAACTGAATAATTACAAAACAGTGAAAGTCAGCATGGAACTTCAGATTATTCATACATTGAGTATATGACCTTTTATACCTGACATCTTGGTTTGTTTACAAAGCCATCATTTTCTAATGTTATCCATTCACTCTGGTCAAAATCTTGCGTTCAAACTATTTTTCAGTAACATTCACAGCCACTTCAGAGCCCCAAAATAAAGAATTTTTAAAAACGGTTTTAAACAAGTTATGAAAGGCACAAACACGTTCTCATCTCTCAAAAGGATAAGGATGAACGGAACTATAATTATGTAGTTAAGTTTCAAATAATCAATAAAAATGGTATTTTTTTTATTCCTGAGGGTGGCACTGATACAAGAGCATCCCCAAATAATAAGTGAATTTACTATTAGCTACCCATAACTAACAATGGGTACACTGGGGACAAAACACTTTCAAATACATGTTTACAGAGTGTTGTTAATGTTTTAAGTAAATAAATATTAACAGGGGAGAATGGTATTCAAGAGTGGTTAAACATATTTAGAAAAGAGACAACAGAGACTTGGTGAATACTACTCAACCTAGTAAAAGATTGACCACTAATTAGAACCAAGCACATAATATAGTCAAGGCCCATGATAATTTTAAAATGTGATTTTATTAATGCACTTTAGGACAAGTGCTATTCTTACTCATCTTTTTTTCTGAGAAAAATACTGCCAATTTTAAATAACTACAGCAAGCTTCATTAGACTGAAATTGTTTGTGGGTGTATGTGTTTTGGGGAAGGGGGCAGAGAGGAGTTGGTTCATTTATGTCATACTGCAAAATACAAACTCATTATCTTGAGTTTACATATAACACTGAGTCACAATATTTCCTTTAAAAATGTTCTTTAAGGCAGATCTGTTTAACATCATATGTGTTACTAAGATGTTGCTATGTAGTTTTAGCAAATTTAACTGCTTCTGTTTTTTCCCCTCAGTGACAATAATACACATGGTCATGAATAGGCCATACAATCTCTTCTCTAAGCTGGCCACCATTTAAAAAACACAAGCTCTTCATATATATATAATATATATATACGTATATAATTACTGTATCAAAAACACATTTTAACACACTTCACAGCTCGTTTAAAGCTTCAGGTTACAGTCATCCATATGAAAAGAATATGCAATGTTCACTGGGATTCCAGTGTTCTGTATCTGAAATGTGGAAGTCCTTCTTCAGTGCAGTGTTAGATATTATAACTCTGTTCATCTTTTTCTTTCAAGGGTTTCCTAAGTTTACTTTTGGATCTTCATTTTTGTATGCTTCACTTATTTCCTTTAATATATTTTCAGATAAGGCAGGTTGATATCTGTATAAATAACCATATGGACGAAGATGATAAATGAGGTATTCTAATTCATACATAGTTGTAGGATCAACATAGTGAAAAGAAACTGCAAGATCAGAACAGCAACCAGGACCCTAAAGAATAATGGAAACAAGTCATTATTAGTACACAATTCATTGTTAACACACAATATTCATATAACAGTACAGAAAGTATTACTTTTAAAATAGTCCAAATATTAAAACTGGTAAGGTAAAGCAAAGGCATCTAACTGATTAGACTTGTGGAAGAAACCAAGAGTTCTTAGAAGTCCTAATGATTTGTAACCACACACAAAATTGCCAATGTTATCTCTAGTCAAAATAAAATTCCTCATACTGTTTAGTGTTTCCGCAGAAAAGAATTCTTAATACTTTATATGAAAGGGCAGCTATTTTACAAAGGATAAGGTACTGTTTTATCAAGTTCTGCTTTCGCTTTATAATTTTCTTTTTTTGTTTGACCCAGCCTAAGAAAAACTGCAGGAACCTTCGATGATGGTAGATTTTCCCAAGATGTCTGCAACCTAATACTTTACCTATAACAATAACTACTGAACAATGGTTAAGAGAGGGAAGCTCTGCAGTCAGATTGATTTGAATCACAATTTTGCCTACTAGAGTATGAAACCGTAATATCAAGTTACTTGAGTCTCTATTTCTATCAATTTCCCCACCTGCAGGAGGATGGTTACTTAGGAGAGAAAATGTATGCAAACAGCCCGGGGTCAAGCTTTCTGTCAATGGTAGCTGTGACTGACAGGGAGTCCTGGTGGCACTGCAGGACAAGCACTCGGCCATAAGGTCGGTTTGAACCACAAAGTCGGCAGTTCAAACTCACCAGCCGTTCCTCGGAAAGCCTACGCAGGGTGGCTACGAGTAGGAATCCACCTGACAGCATTTAACTACAATCATATTCAGGTGGATTTCAGCTGATCAGGTCAGATTTGTCTTAAAAAGGGGTCCCTGGGTGGTACAGATAGTTAAGTGCTTTATTATTTGACAAAAAGAGTGGCTCAGAAGACAGGTCTGGCAATAGGCTTCCAAAAGGTCATAAACTTAAAAATCCTATGGAGCAATTCTACTCTGCACACATGGGGACACTGTGGGCAGCAACTAACAGTAACATAATTCTTAAAGACTTTAAATAGGGTTGACATAAGAAAAGGTTTAAAACAAAACAACATCCAAAAAAAAAAAAGATAGACAGTATAGTTAGATTGGTCCTAAAGTTAATTATGCAGTCAGAAGGTGACTCTAGGGCTCAGGCTAGTATTTGGAGAATATTTCACCCAACAAAATTTCAGGCTCTAATGCCTTTCCAAGGACTGAGGAAGGGAATCTGGAAAGTTCCCCGAGATTTATGTTGACCTATTTAATAATTAATGTTTGGAAGTACATAGCTTATCATGCACCAAAAATTATCAAGAAATTGTCCATTGTACTTTCTTTGCCTTCCCTGTGGTTCTTTCACTTGCAACAAACAATGAATATCTGAAAAGCTTAGACAAATTTTAAGAAAATTAGCTGACGCCTACTTCTTACACTTTTGTTGTTTGCTTAGTGTCACTGAGTTGGTGCCAACTCATAACGACACTGTAAAGGGTTTCCAAGGAGTAGCTGGTGGGTTTGAACCGATAACCTCAAAGTTAGCAATACAGAACTTATCCTACAGTGCCACAGCAGGACTGCTCTTGCACCTCTGTTGTTAAGTGCCATCATGTCAGTTCTGACCCATGGTGAACCTGTACAGGGTTTCCAAGGGGCGGCTGCTGAGCTGTGCCACTCACTGGCTTTGAAGCAGTTCAGACTGACTTTGCAGTCCGGCGCAGTAAAAACACCACACCAGGCCTCCTCTTACACCTTTGAGGGAATATTATTAAAGCAGAAACAAAATGAAAAGTAAATAGATTATTCAATTTGTGATCATCTAACCCAACTTTGTTCGATAGATCGAAGCCAAATACAGCTTTAAACTTTCTAGCATCCACATGAAAAAAGTTAATAGGTGAAATTATTTTAGTACATTTATTTAACCTAATATATCCATAATATTGCTTCAGTGTGCAATCAGTATTTTAATAATATCATTTTTATTTGTGTTCTTTGAAATCAGTTGTGCATTTTATACATACCCCACCCACTCATGTCATTAAAAGTTGATTCCAGAAAGTCTCATGCTTCTTCTGTGGAGCAGCTGGTGGGTTTAAGCTATACACAAGTTACCTGCTTCCAAATACAATGGCAGAACAGGCAAAAAGCAGATATTAGCACCTTGTGGTTATAGCAGCCCAATCTTACCCCACATCACCATCAGGCTCCTTTTTATACATATGTTGTTGTTAAGTGCCATCAAGTTGATTCTGATCCATAGCAACCCTGTATAGGGTTTCCAAGAAGCAGCTGGTGAGCTTGAACCACCGACCTTGCAGTTCAAGTGACTTTGCAGCCTGACGCATTAGCCCATAGCACCACACCATACATATGGCGCATCTTAATTTGGTCTGATTACATTTCAAATGCTAAGAACCACGTGTGGCAGTTGCTATTATACTTGACAATGCATATGAAACTATAGGACTAGAGCAGGTACAGTTCATGTGTAATTGCAGAGCCTCTCTTAAAGCAATTTGTGTAGGACTGTGACATAATATTCCTGGTAACAATTAATGTATTAATTATGCTACATTTTACCAGGATCATTAGTAACCATTATAGCAATTGCGGGGTCATGGTGTGGTGCTGTAGGACAAACCACTGGACCACAAAGTCAATTTGAACTACAAGGTCAGCAGTTCAAATACACCAGCTGTTACTCGGAAACCCTATACAGGGTCGCTATGGGTCGGAATTGACTAGATGGCACTTAACAACAAACAACAACAAAGGAGCGTAGTGGTTACAAATCAGGCTGTGAACTGCAAGGTCAGCAATTTGAAACTACCAGCTGTTCCTCAGGAGACAGATGAGGCTTTCTGCTCCTGTAAAGATTTCCAGCCTCGGAAACCCTATACAGGGTCGCTATGAGTCGGAACCAACTCCACAGCACATAACAACAAGATAATTAAGAAAACTGCAAAACTTCATTGTTGTTGTTAGGTGCCATCTAGTTGGTTGCAACTCCCAGTGACCCTAGATATAACAAAATGAAGCACTGCTTTAACCTGTAGCCTCCTCAAAATTACTGCTGTTTGAGTCCATTGTTGCAGCCATCTGTACCAATGGACTCAAAGAGCCATGTGTCAAACCATCTCATTGACGGTCTTCCTCTCTTTCTCTGATCCTCTATTTTACCAAGCATGATGTCCTTTTCTAAGGGCTGGTACCCCCCGACAACAAGATTAAAGTATAAGAGACAGGTTTTGCCACTCTTGCTTCTAAGGAGCATTCTAGTTCTACTTCTTCCAAGACAGATTTGTTTATTCTTCTAGCAGTCCATGCTACAATCAATATTCTTTGCCAACATAATTCAAAGGCATCAATTCTTCAATTTTCCTTATTACTTGTCTAACTTTTGTATGCATCTAAGGTGATTAAAAATACCATGGCTTGGATCAAGTGCACCTGAGTTCTCAAGGTGATATCTTTGCTTTGTAGCACTTACTAACAGACATAAAAGAATATAAAGTCCTGAGGCAAAGTCATTGTACCTGAATTAAAGAGTTTATGGGCAAGGGTAAAGACATGAGAGTTGCCAAGACAATTCTGAAGGGGAATAGTGTGGAGTGGGGTAGGGGACACATACTCTTAGATAAATAATTTTAAAAGATTGTAATACCACAAAGTTCAAAACGATGTGATGCTGAGTCAGAACAACTCCAACAACTCAAAAGAAGTCCCAGAATGCAATTCCTACTAGATGGGGAATGAAGAGTCATCTCTGAGTGGTGCAAACAATTAATGTGCTCTGCTGCTAACTGAAAGGTACAGACTGAGTCCACCCACAGGTGCCTGAAAAGAAAGGTCTGGAAATCTACTTCTAAAAAATCAGTCATTGAAAGCACCCTGAAGCACAGTTCTACTGAGATCCAGAAGGGGTTGCCATGAGTTAGAACTAACTCCACAGCAACTGGATGGTTGTTTATAGTATGATAAAGGTATCATTTCAAATCAGTCATAAACGGTACTGAAAAAACTAGCTGACGATTTAAAAAATCAGGACTCTCTACCTGAACCAAATGCCAATTCATTTTAGATGGATTCTAGCTAATGCAAAAAAAAAACCTGAAACAAAGAAATCACAGAATGGCAACTAAAAATGACTTCAGGCATTGCTAAATGTCCCCCAAAGGGTAAGAGTCAAAATTGCCTCCAGTAGAGAAGCACTGTTCTAAGGCAATAATTTGAAAGCACTAGCTAGTAAAGAAGAGAACAGTAGTGTTGTGCTATCAAGTGTACTACTTAGAATCTTTGCTGTTGCTCATAAGTGCCTTCGATCGGTTCCAACTCATAGCGATGCTATACAGGGTTTTTGAGGAGCAGCTTGTGAGTTTGATCTGCCAACCCTGTGATTCAAATCATCATATTCATACACTGGACACTACACAGTAGTTTAAATTCATGAAGCAGACACATGCAGTGTCATGTCAAAAAGTTCAAGGAAAAATTCCATTATCTTTCAATTCAATTTTTTCATGATTGTTTGAAGCTTCCTTGTATGTTACCACTGGCAAACCTCATTCTGTAAAAAAGGCAAATTACAGTTAAGATACATAGAATTCTATTTACTTAAAGTTTAAAAACCTGCAAAATAATACAAAATACTGTTTATGTATACGTAAGGTGGTAGCGAAAAAAAGAGAAAGACATGGATTCTAACAAAAATTACTAAATGATAATGGCTAATTTTGGACAGGTGGTAAGGGGACACAGACCTCAATTACATTTTTTTTTTCTTTCAAAAAAATCCGAGGCAAATGTGGCAAAAGATTAATGTTTGATAAAGTTGGGTGGTGGGCACAGGGCAGAATATTATTCTCCAATGTTTGTCTGTATATCTGAAATATTTCATAAAATAATGTCCTTTATATAAATGTCTGAGGATTATAAGCTAGGGTGTCAAATGAAAACTAAAGTTTATTAAGTGTTTAACATGTGATGGGGTATCTCTGGGTAGTACACATTGTTAATCCACTCAACTGCTAACCAAAAAGGTTGGAGGATCAAGTCCACCTAGAAGTATACTGGAAAAAGGCTTGGCAATCTACTATTGAAAATCCTCTAGAGCAGTTCTACTCTGACATACACAGGGCCGCCTTGAGTTGGAACAGACGTGATAACCTCTGGCTGCTGTGTGATGGGCACTGCACTAAACTCTAATCACACTGAAGGAGATGGCTTTATCATGTCCATATTACAAATGAGGAAACAGGTTCAGAAGTTAAACAAATATTGTCCATCCAAGTATCATTCCATTCAAAGTGGGAGAGCAGGGTTTGAACCTGTCACTCTGAACTTCAAAGTCTTTTCATGCACTGATCTGGATGACTGAAAGACTTTATACCAAGGTCTTCACACAACCTGCCCTCAATCCTCACTCAGGATGCTGCTCAAAAGTCATCCCTTAGACAAGTCTTTGTTAATCACCCAAACCACATCATCCCACTATTGGTCACTTTCCATCCACTTCCTTGGCTTCATTTTTCTTCAGGGCATTCAATATTACCTAAAATCATATGGTATCTTGACTGGTCTGCCCATGTCTTTTATGTCTCCTCAACAAGAAGACCAGTCCAAGAGAACTAGAACTTGGCTTTATTTGCTATTATATTCTCAGTGCCCTGCATGCAGCATTACCTACAGATATTCGTTTTTATCGATTTTTCTATATTGTCACTCTTTATCGGTACTAAAAAAACATACATATTTTAGGTTAAAAAAAAATAACAAAAGTAAATCAGATTGAATACAGCTATAAAACTTTTAAACTTACCTCTACAGGAGGATAATAGTTATAATTCCAGTACCAAAAGGTTTTGGGTAGATAGCCTTTAATTAAGTGGTGTTCCGGTACAAAGGGATGAAAAGTTTCTTTTCCAGTAGTATCTCGGGAATCTCCTGCTTCTACATTTATAATTTCCATGCATCTCCCCAGTGCTAAGTCTTCAATGGAGGAACTATGAGTACATTTATCCGTTTTAAATGCATCAACAAATCTCTTCAAGGCTTCTTTGCTCAGTACGTATCCTGCTCCTCCACTCATGTAACCCTGCTTTACATAGGGCTTAAATCTTCTCCCAAAGTAAATGGGTCTCTCAGGGTCATATTTTGAGAGAAGCCATCTCAAATTGTCTAGTACAACATATGTATCATCATCTGCTTTCATAAACCAATCAGCATCTTCTAAATAATGCTCATGAACATACTGAAAAGCTTTAATAGTTTTCCAGTATAGCTGGTCTCTGCCTTCTTTAGTTTTTAATCCCACAGCAGGGAAGTCATTATTTTCTTCTGAACTCATAAACAACACTTTATTACAACGTTGGGCCCACGTAGCTTTGACATGTTTGGCCTTTTTCTCTAGATTTTGAGGCCCTGTCATTACCCAGCAGAGAATTTTAACTTTCTGATATAGTTTTTCAGAGATGTCGGTGTTCTCATCTATTAAACAAAATAGTAATTAAAAATATAAATATATACATAGATATGAAAATCACAATATACTCAAGAAAATATTTTCTTAAACAATGTCAAAGCCCTCCCCCCCTTCCATTTACCCATCTATCATCAGTGATTTTGCTGGAAAAAAAGCAAAAGGAAACCTAATATGAGCTGACATTCTGACTTATTGGTTTCATGTCAATCTTATTGGGAGATCACTAGAGCTAACAAGAGTTGTTCCTAGAGCTCACAGTAACACTACTCACTGACCAAACAGTGTTACAAATCTGTTACAAAGGCAGAGTCCCAGGCTCCTCCTCAGACTTCCTGAACCCTATTTTAACAAGTTCTCCTGGTGATTTCTGTGCATCTTACACATTGTCTTAAATAGCCTCTGCTTTTCACATCATACTAACAAGAAAGTTTCAGCTGAGGGAATTTTTCAGTGGCCTTAATGTGCTTCTGAAGGACAGGAGAGATATGTTGCTGGAGTGACAACAGTTAACTATTTCATCATTTTGACAAAAATCAATGAATTTTCTACAAGTTTTAAACATTTTCACAACTACTGCGGTTTTAGGAAGAGTACTTAAGGCAGGATTGAGATTACTTTTGATAGTTATGCACCTCATTCCAAAATGCTAATCCTCCAATCAGACAGAGAACATATGTTCCAAGTGGCATTTCTAAGATTGTCTAAACTCAAAACCAAATCCACTACTGCCTTCACAACAAGAGAAGTATTACTCAAACACCAGTTTACAAAGAAATAAGAAGTGTGTACCAGAAGATAAAACAACATACTAGGGCTTTGAGAACACAGTTAGTACTATAAAAAAACAAAAACAAAACAAAAATACCTTAATTAAACAAATTTAAAGACTTATCTGGGTGCAGACAGACAACAAACAATTCATAGGCTGCTAAACTTAGGACTTATGAAGAGGAAGGGTACTAACAAGACAACAGACCAGTGCATCTCAAACTATCTGTGGTGCAAGGACTGGTTTTTAAATGCTAGTATTGGTGAATTATATTCTGTAAAGTATGGTCAAAATTAATTACTAGAATCAAGCCTAAAATAGAAATGCAAAATTCCATAGTAATTCATCGATTCAGATAAAATTACTCTGTCAGATTAACTTGTTGTTGTTAAGTGCTGTTGAGTCAGTTCCAACTCATAGCGCCCCTGTATAGGGTTTCCGAGGAGCAGCTGGTGGGTCTGAATTGCTGGCCTTGTGGTTTGCAGTCCGGTGCTGATCCACAGCGCCACACTATAAGTCCTCCCAATTTCCATCCTTATTCTGTCTTGGAATGTAACAAACTAGAAATCAGAGTACAGTCTGCAGACCACACTTTGAGTAGCAATGCTCTGGGAAGTATCTTGAGGAAGTATACCCTTAAAATTAAAGTCATACAGTGAATTACAACAGCTCAGACCCATGAAGTATGGAAAACTGAAGGCATAAACTTTTAAAATGTCTATTTAGCTGACTGAAAGAGAGGAAAAAAGAAAAGGTTGGCAGGGCATGAAAATATTTTCAGGTCCCTCTGAATATGAAAAAGTCACAATCCAAAAACACAAAAGTAGACAAATCACCATTTTCAGAGAATATTCACAGCCCAGATATGTTTGAGGAATACATTCTAGCTATATAGATATAACCAACCCTGGATTAAGAGGGAAAATAGTGGTTGTAGGAACCCCCAATATGTTTTATTTAGAACAGGAAAGATTTCCTTTCTTCCCACGCCTAGGACCTGGGAGAAAACTCACTCTCTCATTCTTTCAATTATTCAATCATTACTTATTTGTACCAGGTATATTCTGGCATTGAAGTGGAAAGGATGAATAAAATACATTTCCAGCCACAAAAGAATTCAGTCTAGTGAGAGAGCTTGCCATGTAAACCAATAATTGCTAAACATTCAGCTATGCCATATAGTAGAAGGATAAATCTTGGATCAATGTGCTGAGGACAAAGGAAGCAATTGAATGAGGCTTGGGCAGAAAGAGAAGGGAGAGACCAGGGGGTACTAGGAAAAAAGAAGAGATGAACGAAAAAGTAGACACCTCTGAGAAGAACAGAAGGCATGGTGAGGTTTGGCTGAGTACTGATATATGGGTATAACTGCAGGCCTTAACTAAGGGAAATGCAGTTTGGAGTTATAGCACAGACAGACTTGAAATAATAAAAAAGCAGAACTGTTAGAATTTAGCGATAAAGGGGACTGGCTGGTTAAAGTGAAGCTTGGAGAAAACCAGCCTTTAAGAGACACAAAGAGGATTCAACTGAGAAAGCTTGATTAGATATAGGAGGCCAAGGAAAGTGAAGTCATTATAACACATCCTCAGCTTTCTACTTTCCGAGTTCATTATGCCTTTCAAAAGGATCAAAGATTGGTCACATTAGCTACTGATTTTATATATATCTTGAGCGTCTCTAAGAAAACAGGACTAAGCCAAAACTAAAACAGAAACAAGACAATAGCCAAAATCACAGACACAGATATAAACCATGAAAAACAAACTGGACTAAAGAACAGTCCTCAGAGATGAATCTATTCTCAAAGTAAGAACTTTTTCCAGATTACAGTTCCTGAACTGTTTCTACTTAAAAATAACTTTAAAATGAATGTCTTATACCCTAGGTAAATCTAAGTTTTAGCAATTTCCTTCTGAGGCAAACCAAAAATTACTGTAATTTAATATCTAGACTAGAAGCTTAATCTCATCAACAGATAAAGACAAGTATATTATCAAATTGAGATAACTTTATTTCAAATTCTCCTAATACTTTCATAGATTAAATTACTGCTTATGTTTATTCTTGAGTAAAGTAACTCATACCTGTATGTTGGCTGGCATCTGCATTAAAGTCCATCTGCCCTTTTAGATGATTATGTCCAGTATCATCGGAATGCCTAGCATGGGGATCATTGTGCAGAATATTCGGCTGGGTGTCACCCTGTTCACCCAACAAAATACTAAATAGCTGAGAACATAAAAAAAATCCGATTGCGGACCCACAGAGGAATGTTAAAAAATTCAGCCAAGATTTAGAGGCCATTTCCCGAAAGTGTATTTCTACAAGAAAAAAAGAAAAAAGTGGGATAATATAAAATAAAAAAGCAATATACATAGTAAATGTAGTAACTTTTAGTTATAACCAACTGCAGACAGGTTGATTCCTACTCATGGTTACTCCATGTGTCCTAGAATAGAACTGTGTTCCACAGGGTTTTCAATGACTGATATTTTGGAAGTTGATTCAGGTCTTTTTTCTGCAGTGCCTCTGGGTGGACTTAAACCTCTAGCCACCTTTCAGTTAATAGCTGAGGTATCATTTGCACCATCCAGGGACCTTTCAGTCATACTGGTAGTTAATTCCTTCCATACAGGGAAATGTTTAAGACAGCACTTAACTTTTGATTCTTTCCAGAATACGCAAAGTTTCAGACTTATATACACAAATATATATTAAATATTTCCACCTGGATCAGAAAACAAAAACAAAAAACCCTGCTACTATCGAATGAATTCCAAATCATAGCTACTCTAGAGGATAGAGCAGAAATGTTCCATAGGGTTTCAAAGGCTGTAAATCTTTATGGACGCAAACTACCACATCTGTCTGCTACAGAGCTGCTGGTGGGTTCGAACTGCATCCTTTTGGTTAGCAGGTAAGTGCTTACCCATTATACCACCAGGGCACCTTACCTGAAAAATACAAAAAACCCAAATCAAACCCATTATCATCTAAGTGGACCATACCCACCCACTGTCAGAGTGGATTCTGACTCACAGCCACCCTCCAGGACGGAGTAGAACTGCCCATGGGATTTCCTAGGCTGTCAATTTTGATGGAAACAGACTGCACATCTTTCTCCCTTGGAGCAGTTGGTGGGGTCTAACTATGAGGCTTGAGGCTAGCAGCAAGCACATCACCACTAGGGATCCATTCTCTTCTCTCCATTTCTACAACTTGTCTTACTTCAGACCCTTCTCTTGTCCCTAGGCTACTGCAATATATAACCAGTATCCCTGACTCTAAGTGCTGTCTCCTCTCAACTCATTCCCATTCTGTCACCAAATGACCTATCTAAAATTAAAAGTTGACTATAAATCCCTCCATGGGTCCCTATGCCTACAAGATAAAACTGAAGCATCTTTAATTAACATGATATATAGTAGAGAGGCTCTCCTTGATTTGGACTGGCTCCAGGTTCTAGCCTCATCTTTTGTTACTCCATGTCTAATCATTTATGCTTCAGCAATCTTAAACTATCTATATAGTTCCTTGAACATTCCAAGGCAGTTGGTTCCTCTATTTATACTCTCTTCCTTCACCATCTATGCCCCCCAACCTTCGTAGATCCCCTTAAGCTAGGGCTTTCATTCTAGGTACTATTGACATTTTAAGCCAGGTTGTTTTTTGTTGTGGGAACCATGCTGTGCTAATGATTGTTAGATGTTTAGCAGCATCCCCAGCCTGTACTCACTAAATGCAAGTAGCACTATGACTCCCCAGTTGTGGCAACCAAAAAAGTCTCCAAACCAACACCCCAGTGCGAGCAAGTTGATTCTGACTCACAGTGACACTCAAGTCAGGATAGAACTGCCCCATAAGTTTCCCAAGTCTATAATCATTACAGAAGCAGACTGCCACATCTGTCTCCTGTTGTTTTGAATCACCAACCTTTTATTTAGCAGCTGAGCATTTAACCCACTGGGCTACCCAAGGGCAATGTTCCCATAGGGCCAAGTCAGCCTGGGTGAGAACCACTCCATAAACCTGTTAAAACTAATTTATAAAATATAGAAGATTTCATAAAGACTAGTTGTAACTCTAGTTACCTCTGTGGAGAGAAACTGAGTGAAAATAATGGGAAGAAAAAATAAAAGATTGACTTCTTCAGTATATTTTGACAAGTACCAAAATAATCCTTCCTTTTAAAACTTAGATCCTATGAATCATTTGCTCAAAACCCTCTAGGGTCTTCCTGTCTACTTAGGCAGAAATCCAAAGCCTTAAGATGATTTTCACAGAATCTGTCTCCCTAACCCCAACTCCTTTTGTTCTGATTTCTGCTTCTAGCATCCAATATATGGTAGCTCAAAGACGAATGAAAAGCAGCAATCTCACAGAATAAAACCTAATGCTATCTTCTCCAATTGCTGTGTTCCAGTTCAGGGCCCTGTGCTGTTCTCTCTTGGGAACACATCTTATAACCAGATAGTCACAAACAAGGCTCATTCTCCAACTCCTTCAGGTCTCTACTTCTCAGAGGGTCTCTCCATATAGCTCCTATCAACATTTAATATAAAGTGTACTTACTCATCTTGCTTATTGTCTCTCTTCTCAATCTTGATCAGTGTTTCTCAGACCTGAGTATACATCAGTATCGCCTGGAAGGCTTGTTAAAACCATTTCCAGAGCAAGAAAACTGCATCCTAGTGTGGATTGATAATTACAAGGTCAGCTGTTCAAACCCACTAGCCACTCCTTAGAAACACTACACAGGGTTGCTACACGCAGGAGCTGACTTGACAGCATTTAACAGGTGATGCTGAGATTGTGTATCCAAAGGTTCCATTTTGAGAACCAGTGCTGAAGAATGTAAACTCCACGTGCACAGCCATGTCTATCCATTTGTTCTCTGCTATATCGCTAATCTGCTGCACAAGACCTTTTTAAAGTGTTGAAGAGTAAATACGTCAGCTTGAGGACTAAGGTGCGCCTGACCCAACCCATGGTATTTTCAATAACCTCATATGCATGGGAAAGCTGGACAGTGAATAAGGAAGACTGCAGAAGAATTGATGCCTTTGAGTTACGGTGTTGGAGGAGAATACTGAAAGTGCCATGGGCTGCCAAAAGAACCAATAGGTCTGTTTTGGAAGAAGTGCAGCCAGAGTGCTCTTTGGAGGCCAATATGGCCAAACTTCATCTCTCATACTTCGGACATATTGTCAGGAGGGGTCAGTTGCTGGGGAAGGACATCATGTTTGGTAAGGTGGAGAGTCAGAGAAAAAGAGGAAAACCTCCAGCGAGATGGACTGGCCAAGTGGCAGCACTGATGGACTCAAGCGTGTCAACAGTAGTGAGGTTGGCCCAGAATCAGGCAGTGTTTTGTTCTGCTGTGCATAAGGTGGCTATGAGTCGGTACCGACTCGATGGCACCTAACAACAACAATATCGCTAATGCCTGGTACAGAGTAAGCACTCAAATATGTGAATCAATTTAGAATCACCCCATTCTGCTCCTTTATCCTGCGCTTAAAACATTTACTGAACACAAACAGGTATGCCCCACTTTTTAAAACTTTGCTTTATGCCAGTTCATTTTTATAAAAGGTCTATATATCAGTACCTGTTTCTTGCTATCCAAAACCCATAAAGGATTTTTGTGTGTGTGTGTTTTTTTTAATTGAAACAAGTGTTCATCAAGCAGTTAAAGAGGCAGCGTGCCCAAGCACTGAGAGTGGTGTTGCCAAGCTCCTTCCCTACGAACAACACTCAGCATCAAGCTGCAAGACTTTGAAGTGTAACTGGGACCATCATATGCTAGTGTTATTTTGGTATCTGTATGTTATTTGGTATCATTTGGCAGGTTAGTTTTTGGGTCTGGTAACACTTTTGAGTGTTTCCCATATAAATTAATGATAGTTGCTTCTTCTTCATTTGACACCATTTCTGCTTACCAAGGATTTCATAGGAATGCTGTACTTTCATACAGTGGGGGAAACCTGCACAATAGTTAAACTCTCAGTTGCTAATTGAAAGAAAGTGGGTGGCTTGAACCCATAGGCCATTGTGGGAGAAAGATGTGGCAGTCTGATTCCACAAAGACTTGCAACCTAGGAAACTCTATGGGCCATTTCTACCTTGTACTATAGGGTTGCTGAGTCAGAATGGGCTTGACGGCAAAGGGACTGGTATAAGATAAATTATATGATCAAGCACGCAAATAACCACTCCCAATTGTATATCATTTAAAATCTGCCTTTAGCTTCCATCACTCTAAATTATTTAATATGCCACTTTTTATTGTACATTAATCAAGTTCCCTGTTGCAGATTCTCTTTCAATTGACTAATCACTCTCCCCGCCCTCCAAAACTGTACAAGACAGCCCATTTTACAGGTGTTAGATCATTCATTCAGGGTTTTTTTTTTTTTTTGGCTTCTCCTACATTCTTAAGGCTTTTCTAAGTTCACGAGTACAGGCTTCATTATTTTCTTCTCAAGGGGGCCACTTTCTATTTTCACACATTATCGATTTTGGCATGTTTTTCTCCTGTTAGTTGCAAAGTGAAAAATTAATATTTTAACTTAATATTTTGTATGGTACACATTAGGGTTCTTCTCTAACCAGATTTTAAAGTAAAATGTTAACTTCCCTCCTTACGGAACAACTTTTTTCTGCACCTCTTCTTTGAAAAGAATGACCTTGATATTAGTAATTTTGTGTAAAAAAGACTTTTACCATACCTGTCTTTCATGTAGGCTACAGTCTATACACCAGTCTCTGTATGCAAATCACACACATCTTTTTAAAAGAAGATGGCTACATTGGAAAGCTTAAACGTTTAAGTATATCTGAACTGAATTTCAGCACTGTGTTGTCTGTTTTCTAGTTACTGTTTATTCACAGCTGTCACAAGAATTCTAATGAGTGATATCACATTAAGACTCTCCTTTCAATAACTTTGATTTATAAAGCATATAGACTAAAAATGCAATCTTCATCATAGTTTTCGTTGTTAAGTACTATATAGTGCAGGTTCCGACTCACAGTAACCCTGTATAGTGTTTCCAAGGAGTGGCTGATGAGCTTGAACTACAGACCTTGCAGTCCAGTGCATTAATCTACAGCGCCACACAGTGAACACAAATATATAAATGGGATATAGCATATGCCTAATGACACAGTTGGGAGTCCTGATGTGGCGCTGTAGGATAAGCACTGGACTATGAACCAAGAACCCATCAGCTGCTCCTCAGAAACCCTATACAGGGTCACTGTGAGTAAGAACTGACTCAACAGCACTTAACAACAATTCCTAA